ATCAACCTCGTAAATTTTAATCATATTGCACCAATACTCCTACGTTGAGATAAGAACATGATTATACATACCAAAGCCCATATTAAAAATCAAAATTTAGCACCTCCATTATGCAACCACATTATTCGTCGCAAATAAGTATATTTACGCATATTATGATGCATATTCACACAACTCGTATACATGAAAAGTTATTAAAATCAGACAAAATTATTGCAATAAGGAAAAAAAAACAACTTTATTATATATGTTAGTAATGAATTACAAATATTTCTACAAAGAATGCTCAATACTTCATATAATCTTCGAATATTTCTTATTACAAGTTAATACATTTTGACTCGAACATGATAAACAAAAGCTGACACGCTGATTACTACATTTATGAAAATATAGTACGTTTCCATTCATCTGTTTACTTGTTTTTGTTGGAATAAAATCATTTTTTTTTTTTCATGAAATAAGAATTTTGCTGCGAAAGCAATATCTCTAACAATAATTAATACATTACGTCAACTCTGGAATGAGTATTTATCAAATATGATATCAAAATCAAAAATTAGTTGTTTTTTATGAGTAAAAACGATGTAAATTGATTATTTGACTAATTATCAAATACTTTGATTTTCCAAATTTTTTTTCGAAATTGATTTTTTCATGTGAAAATTCAAATTGTTTAATTTCATTTTTGAAATTTTAAATTTTTTTTGGAATTTTGAGTTGATCAATTCAGCAGAATTGATAATGCTATTGCTTTAGGACATACCACAAGGTGATGAATAAAAGGTGAACATTAACAAATTATTTTAAATCACAAATATCATCCTCATCAACTTTAATTCTAAAAAGAACTGTACTGAATTATGAAAATGCATGATTTACATTATTAAAATCTTTGAATGAAAATAGTACAAGATAAGTTTTTATTCATTTTTAATTAGATTTAAACGAAAAACTACTCCATATTAAAATTTAAGTCGAGAAATCGTATTTTGTTCTTATTTGTTAGCATTTTGTAGACATCCTAATCTTGAATTAATTTGTTACATGATATTATTAACAAATTTAACTGAAAAAATATGTTAATATGGAATAAACCATGATTATATAAGCTATCAATGCTATATATACATATGTAAAAGATTCATATTAACTCAATTAACAAAAATGATAGATTTTCATAAAGGTTCAATCTAGGTTCGTCCGAAAATTTTGATTTTTATATAGAAGACATAGTTTCATATACATAATTAAATTTTCAAACAAATTTGATCATACCATTTATTAAGCAGGATAGTATATTAATTACTATCAGTATAAAAATATAAAAATGATTATATTTAATTATTGCATAATTTAGTCAAAGAGTTATAAACCTCAAGTGATTGTTATCACCTTCAATACACGTATACTTTATTGATTCATAGATATTTAATCTATGTTTGACATGTTGTTGTCGTCATTCGTTTTGTTCCCATTCTTCCTAAGTTAGAATTAGAGAATACACCATCCACATCATCTAATTTGGTCCTCAGCGATAGATTGGTTCATTTTGGAGGAGTCCCATCAGACAGTTTTCGAGCACCAAATATCAAATTTTAATGTATACAAATCTTTAGTGATTTATCTCTTTTATGATGAGTAAAAGGTTTCTGCTCATCAACATTTGATTTCCGACATATATGATTTCTAATTGCAATTATTTACTTTCTTTTTATAATCTAACTCTGTGACTCATACCATAAATTAATTATTGGAAAGTGTCAATATGTTTGGCATAACGCATGGCGGAAGATACCAAACCATGCAGGGAATATGATACGTTTAAGATCTCCGAACTTTTTTTCCAAAAATTTTCTATCGTTGCCCTACCTCTATTGAAGATGTTACAATCAACTGTACTTCCTTTCAAAAGGCAAAAATATTCAATACAAAGAACAATTATCCACATTGAAATATTTTTTACATTAATCAATTGTAATATTCTTTATGCACTCTATTTTTGTTACAAAAAAATCGTCAAAAAATTTTGCGGTTTTTTTATTTAGATGAATAATGCGATTATAAATCCCATGTGCGTTGGAAATCTGACACTGCAAAACATGATACATGAGTTCTTCATTGATCATATGAAGAAAGATTATCCAGATTTCCAAGAATTCGTGGCTTCTGAAACGTATTTCATGATTAACAAAGATGATACAAAAAGTATTTATGTCATGCTTTTGTCTAGAGGCGTCAACCTTAACTGTAACATCTTGTTCGAAGCTATCGTTAACTTAAGGATGGGCACTCATAGGCTCCTGACAGCATAAAAATGTTATTATCTCACAATATAAAAGGAATCCTAGGAATCTACAACTATATCTATATTGTTGGAAGACTTCTTAATGTATCATGCATATAAGTTATATCAATAACTCCATTATGTTATATGATTGTAATCATATTTTCGTTTCATGTTCAAAAACATTAAAATCATACTAACTATATGAGTATTATATTTAGGAAGCTGATATATAGATATGATAAAATGCTAGGTTTTGTGATTAAGAATATATACTTATATTTTAGAAAATAATACTTTTATAAAAAATTATATCTTATATAATCTAAAAATTTTGGACAATTAAAAAACATTAATTAAAAATAGAAGGTGAAAGTGTTTATTCAAAGAAGGTGCAAGATTATGATGTTTTGAGGGTGAAATAAATTTAATAATTATTTATGTGATTTAAGAGTAATACGATCATCGGTAGCTTGAAGACCTCTCTTTATAGCTCTTAATGCCGCAAACTTTTTTTGAACTTGCTTTGAATTTTTGAATGCTTTGATTAAATCTTTTGTTGTATCATACATTCTGAAATATCTGTTCATCATTTCTGGCATTGTTGGTAAATTTAACCTGTATCTTATTGCTACAATCGTTTCAAACATACTTTCATTGAAATGCAATATTGTGACTGCCATCCTAATTGGCCAAGAAGCATGCCAATTAATATTTTTATTAGCAAGCATTGCTTTGATATGGTTTATCGATTCAACTACTTGAGTTGAATGAATCTTTTTTACCATATCAAAGATTTTTACGGTATCTTCGAGGAATTTTTTAAGTGTTTTTATAGCAGTTTTATTTTTTGCATATTTCCATGGTTTAATCATCTTGCATTTTTCAGGATCTGGACAAAATTTATGATTTCCGGCATAATGTTTAGCGGAATTCAACCATAAAAACTTCTTTGTTTTAATTGACATATGTGTGTCATTGAGAAGTTGCCTAAGCCAACGCAATAAATTCTTTGAAATGCTAGATAAGATTCTGAATTCTGGCAGTTTGAGCTTTTTCTGTATATTGTTAAGAAAATGTCCAGGATCTCTGTATTCTCTGATACCTTTGAACGTATTTTTGATTGTAGAAACAATTTTGACATCGCCATCATGCACAAAAAAATTTACACGTTTTTCATTATTCCAACGCTTCAGCATTCTTTTTAAGCCTTCAAATTCCATTTCATTTGATTTTCCGTTGAAATTACCTTTGAAATTTTTAAAAGATTTAGATATCACTTCCCAATCTACAATTTTTTTGAGTTTCTCTTCTACAAATTGTACATAGCAAAACATTGCATTTCTTCTCTGACTCCAAGAACCGTCAAACAAAAGTCCCGAACATTTTCTCATTCGAGATTTCCAATAATTAACAGATTCTCTGGCAACTTCTATGATAACACGACCAACCTTTTCTTGGACTCGATGAAATGTAGCTTCTGACGGAACTTTGATGTTATTCAGCATGAATTGAAATTCTGATTGGCAAAATGTAGCGCCGCTCAATAATACAGATAGCACAAATTCAACAGTGTTGACGACATATGGCTCTACCCTATTTTTCGCGCTTTGAACTAAGTTCTTTATACGCTTTGCAACTGCTTTTGTTCGCCGCGGCATGAAAAATGAAGAATAACTTGACGGTTTCTTGAACAAATGGTCGCACATTCAAATATTGTGATGTACGATCAGGATAAAAGAATGTTGTTGCCGTGAATTTAGAAAATAGCAAAATTTCAATTTACGCAATCGAGATATAACTTGATCGTTTGAGCGATAACCATGGCACCCATAGTATTAATGAAAGTACTCATACTTACAATTATTTTCTCCCATAGGAATATTGTTCAATATACTTCACCTATAGAGGAAATCTCGAAATAAAATCGAATTTTTTCAAAAATTACAAAAATCAATTTTTTACAAAGATGTTCGAAAAATAACATTATATACGCATCAAATCAAAGCATTATATGGAGCATTATAATTCTATATATGATTGTCCATCTTGCTGTTGTGCTATTTTTTTTAAACAATAATTTCATTGTTGAAATTAAATTTGCAATTTCAGTAAAAATTGCGACCCATCATTTTGAATATAATTGAATTAATACATTTATTGTAAGAATATTATATACCAAATATTAGACTTCCACATGAATCCTGGTATGATATTATAAGTATTGCAAAATTAGAAAAAATATGCTCATGATATACTAAAATTCATGTTTCAAGGTTAACTTATAAATAAAATAAGTTCGAGAAATGCATCACTAAATATTTGAGCTTGTGCACTATAATGCTATATAACAGTCTTCACTGTTTTTAATATATTGACTTTGCTAGACTTGATTTTTTTCATCACCCTAATGAGTGCCCATCCTTAAGGGGACAATTAAATTCGGCCCCTTTTCTTTCTTTCAAAAAGATTGAACATTCATCAAAGGGAGCAATCCTGCATATTTTCACTAATGGCCTCAGTATTATTCAACGTTTAATTCAAAATAGGTTCTGATATAATGAGCCAGTAAAAAGTTTCAAACCAATTTAATGATCATTCAGGAAAGATTATTTTATAAAATATCACGCACTTATAGTTTACTCAAATTCAATAAAATAATACATTAGAAAATAATTATTTGGGGAATAAATCATGACATATGAACATTATTTCATGCTTGGAATTGAGCAACAATACCTCTGATCTGATTTCCATTGCGTTCAATGATTGCAATTCTAATAGTTCTCCTTGTTTGCAAAGCACTAACAATTTCATCCCTTATCGCTCTTAATAGTTCTCTGAAATCTTCAAGCATTTTCAAACCCTCTAAGGAATTTTGTAAATAATCAAGGTGATGAAGAAAAACAATTGACAAGTTTATCACATCTTGAAGAGTACCATTATTGATTATTTGCTGTATTTCAATTAACTCTTTTGTAAGTAATGCTATATCCCTTGCCTGCTCCTTTTGAAATTGGTTCAATGCAATACCAAGAAGAATGTCGTCTGACAAATCACTTCTTTGCGAGTAAATATTTCGATTTTGTACTGCATTTGATGAATATTGAGCAGCTGGGTAGTTTGTACGCTGAACTGCACAATCTGATGAGCTACTAGATGCGTAAGATCTTTTGCAACAACAGTCGCATACTCCAAATTTATAGCAGCCGTAACAACCTGTAAACACCATCCCGCATACAATAAGTACTATAAGATATATTACAATATCCATTTAAGTTCTGACTTTTTTTTTCAGATTTCCTAATTTGAGGGGAAAAGTCGTACTTTTGATTTTGCTCAGCAAATGATAGAATTAATATATTTTCCTTTCTGATGTTTGAAAATTATAAAAGACAATTACTTCTTTAGTCTCTAATTTTTTATTATTGTTTTGATGTTTCAAATAATAAAAATAAGGCAGGTATTACTTTTTGCACATCATATCACATATATATATATGAGACGTAATATTTATTGGCATAATCTTTGCATTACATGGAACAGCAAATTGAGATGCAATAGTTTAGATATTACACCCTTCTGTTTCATCAACCGAAGAAACCACAACACATATTATGCGTTATGATTTTTCGATGAGGAAACAAGTGTTCACGTATTATAAACTTCCTTATCCCAATAAACCGGCCCTAAACATAATTAATTTTAAGCATTATAATGGTCTCTTTTCTATGATAACCAAATCAATTTGGTTATCATAGAAAAGCACCAAAAACTAGAATAGGAATCGGCAATATGGAATTATGAAACAACTAGGATAAAATGGATATGGGACATTCATGAATGCATTCACTTTTTTCAAGACTTTTTAATGAATTTCAAATTCCTCAGATTATTTTCAATAGATTTTCCGTACCATATCATTTTTATTAGACAAAGCTATCTTTTCGATGAAATTTTTGCAAAAATACTCTGTTTTGAAAAAGATTTATGTAAATTTTTTGATAAAAGTGTCTTGAATGATTATCATTGATAATACCATTCCAATTGAATGCTGTTTTCGGCTGCTTTTATAAAAATTTGATCATATTGTACTCATAATTTTTTTTGTATTTTGGTCAAAAACTAAGCTAACATCAGCTGTATATTTGCATAAGCCATTAATAAGCTTTGGTATAGGTTATACTGAGTTTAGACGATCATACAATTTAGACTTTTTTCATTTAATTTAGTCTAACAAAGAGTGATTATCTTACTATTTGATTCATAAATATATAGGAAATAATAGTTTTATACCTTAATATGATAAAATTTTATAAAATTTTCCCTTCTCCTTTGGCAATATTAGTCATTAATAGATATATTTAACATGATGGTTCTAAATATATGAATAGATAAAATTTTCCTTTCAATTTTACGAACCAAATTTATTACCATATCCTAAATTTTTTTCTATGTTTATAGACCTTTGGAACTTTGTATGAAGTCTAAATATACATGTAGAGTATTCAAACAAAACAAATATCAAAATCTAAACCTTTGAATTACCTTCAATTGCTTAACCGAATTACTAGATCTTATATATATGTGTGTACTAATACCTTTTGATGCATAAAAAACTCCAAAAGAGTTTCATTTTAAAATAGTCGATATCAATTCAAAAAATTGAAACTATACCGTCAACTGTCAATTTTTCAATAGTTCGTTTTTTTAAATGTAATTGCTTTTTTATATGCATTAATCATTTGATAGTAGTGGGATCAAATTACATATCTTAAAAATGTATTCCGAGTGGAAAAAAAATCATAGAATGACCACAGATATCTGTTAATCCAAAAATATTATTAGAATCATATTTAATAAAAATGCTATTGCTTAGAAAATAAACGGAAGAATAAAAACGCACTGTTTTCAAACCGTCAAAATTGAATTTGTGTCAAATATCTTGAATTTACAATTTTAGCTATTTAGATAATTAGAGAAGCATTTGATCAATTTTTGTGTTAAACAACTATTTTTCGAATTTCTGAGATATGAAAATTAATTCACTAACTTCTTAAAAACATGAATTGAATGAAAACTCTTAGAAGAAATGTTCATATCACTTTCATTAATGGAGTACAAGGATGATTCCGAGTTCTTGGATGATATCCAGAAGTCCAAAACCCGATCCAAGGAAATCGTGAGAATGCAAATGCACTTAGCTTATCTTGATGAATCAGAGCCCGCAAGTGAAGATGAAAATCAAGCACCAGCTAATGCCGAAGAATTTAAAGTTGTCAGAAAGTTTAGCTTACAAAAATTCCTTGAGGCACACCCAATCTTAAATGTCAAAGACCTTTGTAACTTTTCTTTGGATCAACTCTTGTATTTAGTTGATGTTGTTCGCGAGCATGAGTTTTCATCCAGACGCGGTCGGAAAAACGGTTGTGATCCATTAGATGCGTTATTCCTAACATTAACTTACTATTGCACTTATCTTCCATTGCAAAAAATGTCAGGAATTGTTAGTTTGAAACAGAGTTACCTCAGCAAAATCATTAACAAAACAACAAACAGGATGTTCCCAATTTTCATTGCTGAATTCATTCCAAAACAATATTCTCCCTGTGACAAGGAGTTCGATAACTTTCCAACATGTGTTGCTGCAGTTGATAGCTCTACTATTCCTTTTACCGTTCCTCTTGATCTTGCTGAGCGTAAAAGTTCATGGGATGCTAAAAACCATTGCAATGGTATGAAGGTTCAAGTTCTTGTTAATCCTTTAGGACAGGTAATTCACATGAATACAAGTTTTTTAGCTTCAGTTCACGATAAGAAAGTATTTGATTTATCAGGAGCTTCAGATTTTTTACATGTCCAACGTGGAGTTGAATCTGTTGCATTAGGACTTCTTGCAGATAGAGGTTACATCGGTATTCAGAAATACCATCCAACAGCCGTCATTATGCAAAGAGGTGATGACGAAGAAGTTACAAAACGCAATAATGCGATTGCACATGATCGCCAAATTGTCGAACGCCGCTTTGCACGCGATAAAAGTAATTGGAGTGTCTTGGCAATAGGATATCGTGGTGAAAAAGGCAATCTTCCACTTATTGTTCAAGGATTGTTTGCTTTAGATAACTATCACATCGATTCCACACCTCTCAGTGAGAAGGATAACTGCGATTTTCCTTGCACTCCAAAAGATGAAAAAGAAGCTGCAGCAACACCAGAACCAAATGGTTCAGGAAGCCCAATGCCAAAGCCAAGATGTGTTCCAAAAGATCTTTATCTCCAAACTCCAGAAACTCCAATGAAGATTCCATCTCCACTAGCTGGATATGAAAAGATTGATAAGATACTTGTTAAAAGAACACAAAATGCAATCTACAACATCGAAACAAAAATGTCAATTCCAGGATTACATAATGAGGGAGCTACCTGCCATGTCAATGCCGTTTTGCAAGTTTTGTTCTACGTAAATACTTTCAGAAAAGATGTAATGGAGCATTTGGAAGATGTCGAATATACGCCAGTGAAAGCACTTGCCGAAATTTATGATCAGATGTTGCACTACCGCCACAAGGAAAGTTAGTATGACTATCATGGGTACGGAGGCACTGCGTTCCACCTTACCCATTATATGTGAATTTGACACTTTACAAAACCATTAACGTATATTTTACAACACAACCATAACACCAACTTAACCTTAAATATTTACAAAGCCGCCAACCACTTCACCTCACTAACGACTTCACTAACGAATTCACTACCATCCTCACTAAATAAAAATAACCTTGTTTTTATTTTCCAACTTTTTAATTTCATTGTAAAGACATGTCTGACTACATTTACTATGACTCTTTCCCAGAACGTTTCCGTGAACTATTCAAAACTCAAGTAAAACTGAGAAACATGCATTTTAACAAAGACAGACCCATTGACGATGAAAGAAACCCTGAATATATTACAATCCCATATGACGCAAAGTTCATTGCATACATTCCTTATGGTCGCAGAGGAACGAAAACTATTTCAACAAAGAACAAAAATTATTTCTGGAGCGATGAAGAAAATTGCCTTATCTACATAAATGCATACTTAAATAAAGCTACATATTGTACAAAAGAAGGTTGGACTGGATTTGAGCTCTACATATACGACGACGATGGAAACAGACGCTGTGTATACCCATACGATAATATGTACCATTGTTTTCATCAAGCATTAAACGAATACATAGTCAGTAAGGGTCTCATTCCTGCTGAGTAGAAATGTTATATTTTTGTTCTGTCATTTATAAAAAAATAAACTTAAAAAAATGATATCACCACCCTCACACGTATGAAAACATAGCACAAAAATAAATTTAGGGTAGATGGTTAGATCTAACCCGATTTCTAACCTCATTTCTACCCTGTTGAATTCATTACTTTATAACTCTCTTCCTTTCTCCAACTCTTCTAACTTCTTCTTAAGTTCAGCAATGTTGTCCTTATGAAGTTTAATCTTTCTCAAAATTCCTTCTTTATCTAATGGTTGCTTTATCTTTCTAAACTGAACTCTACCATCCTTCATAGTATGAACGTAAAAACCTTCTGGAACCGCTCCTGATTTAATGTATTCTACCAAGAACTTTTGTTTCATTGCTTCAGTGACTTTAGTCGTCATTTTACTCTAAATAAAATTTTAATATTAAATAAAAATAACGTTATTTTTTCAGTAAGGAAACGCAGGAGTTTTACGATTTATTTGAGAAGTAGGTTCTGGTTTAAATGTTGGAGTTGGTTTAGGAGTTGACTTTTGAACAGGAGTTTGTACTTCCATAGGTTCAGGAGTCATTGAAGGTGTTGTTTGTGAAGGCGTTGGTTTTGACGTTGGTTTTGGCGAAGGTGTTGGAGTTTGTTTAACTTCAACTACTTCAGTATTATTTACAACATTTGCTTTATTTCTTTTCAACATCATAACTGCTACTGCTGTAGCTAGCAAACCTAGTGGGAGACCATATCTTATATAAGGACTTGACCAAATGCTATTTTTGACAGGAGCTGGTGGAACACCTAACCTTGGTGAGACTGCTCTTTGCCATTGTGCAGCTCGTAAGAAATATTCAATAGGTGCTCCATAATCGTTTAGTAAAGTTTGTTTCATAGATGGTGAAGGTTCGCGAGAGCTTGATGAAGAACTCATTTATAAGCTTTAAAAATAAACGTTCATCCTTTATTCCTCACTGTCGTCCGTAGCTAATTATAGTCATCTAATCTTATTATGGGGATGCCATTAGCA